ATGTATTAAAGCGCTTCAGCTCTAAGAGTTATTGTCATGAGGCTTAGACAATTGCAAAGTAAAGATATAAATAGACAACATGATATTTAGAACAGCATTGAGGATCTTATGTCTTTCATATCCTGTCTGTGAGCTAAATTATGATCCATATAAGTCAAAGTGTAACATATAACTTTCATCAAAGAGAAAATAATCATTTTGCATTGAACAGGCAATATAAATATGTAAAAGGTCTGACATGAATAATTTGTAATCAGACCTCTGTGATTAATAGTAGGCATTATACATGGAATAGAAATTAATGCATTTTTTCAGTTATAATTACTTAATGCATTCTAATTTCAAATTAGTTAGGCAATAGAAATTTTTTCTTTTGTTTAATGATCCTAGACAGACTGTTGTCTGCAACAGTGGTCTACATCTAGTATGTTGGTGCCTTTTCTTTTGTGAGAGATAGTTATTTCTTTAGTACCAGGGTGTCAACCCCTTGTTGCCTTGTTTCTTCTGGCCCATAAGGAGCATCATAAGATTTAAACCCTCATCCTCTTGCCTAAGAGGAAGGGACACAACTTTTATTTTTTTGAAATTAAAAAAAAAAAAAAAGAGGAGGGGACACAACTAACTCAAGCGGTGAGAGTTGGTTTGCTTTGGTGCCTTGTCAATATACTTCCTTTCTCTCCAAAAAAAGAAATTGCTAGTGTCTATTTTTTTAATTTTAAAAAAATAAGTAAGTGCATTCATCAAATAAACAAAAGTTCTCCTTAATAGCAAGCTTTTGTTTCCTTTGAGGGGTTTAAGAAGTGGACATGATTAGCATAGATGTGCTTGTGTTTTCTTTAAATTCATAATATGACTTTTGTTCTTATAATAGATTCTTTTCGTATCTTTAGGAAACATGCAGCTCTTGTTGCACCATTTGCATGTTTATCAATTATTTTCTATTTTGAAAATCAATTGTGCAACGGATGCATGCGGGACTTAAGGAGCTAGATACCATCATCATTGATTTTTCTTTAGTTATTATTAGCATTGCTATCTGCAAGAAATATTATATGTTCTAATTTATACAACGTCAGGATGCAACGTAATAAGGGTCAATTTACTTCTTCCAAGAAGTCTGAAGGCGGTTATAATTGGGGTGCTGTCCAGGAATCTGGACAAGATGATAGCCAGTTGGAGACATCGTGAGTACAATCCTTTGAGTAATCTCTTATTTAGATTCATCATTCCAACTCTGACTTGCTACTTTTTATTCTCAAAAAAAATTTTGCTTCAAAATTCATGGTTTTAGACATTTCTTTTCTTTCCAGATGTACACATTGTGGCATCAGTTCAAAGTCCACTCCGATGATGAGGCGTGGTCCATCAGGTCCAAGATCACTTTGCAATGCATGTGGGCTTTTTTGGGCAAACAGGGTGTGTGTATTCTCTGATGACTTGACAGCTTGTTTATCTCGTATCTCCATGTTACTTTTGGAACTTGCTATTTGAAAGAAGAATAACTGTTTGCTTGTGTTCAATGCACTTGTTTTATATCAAGTTTCTTTGCCAATATTATCAGTGTACAGCCATGTGCATATGCCCATAATTTATCTGCATGCCATTTTTAAATATGATTTGCCATTTTCTCCTCTTTGTTGTGAGGACAGTTACCTGGAAAATGTAGTTTATGAGTGATATTTGATGTTGTTTGGCTTGTTGCTGGGGCATAGATTAATTAATAGAAATGGGTAGATTGCATGAATATATTGACAGAGACAGCGGAATTGAGAATTTAAAATCCATCCTCATGAACCTGTTAGTATTGCCCCTGTATAGATTTGGATTTCGCAGTCATCCAGTTTTTTAATATATGAATGAATCTATTACCAAAGCAACGTGCTATTCCTGCATGTCAAATTTGGGATTATTTGATTACTAACAACCATTTGGTCGCATATGCATTTTTCAATTGTTGGAGTCCTTTCTAGGAAGAACACTTTTGGAATGTCTTTCCTGTGTACTTATTGTTATCGATCTGTTTTTGAGTTTTAATCCTATTTATCTATAGATTTCCTTCTGCTTTTTGATATTTCACACCCTTTTTCTAATGGAACATTGCAGGGTACATTGCGGGATCTTTCCAAGAAAACTCAGGATCAGACTTTGACTCCTATTGAGCAGGTTTTTTTTCTCACATTCTGTAATATTTTCAGCCGTTTTGGTTACATCTTTCTCCCTGATGCAAATGTGGCACTTTCTTCTTTTTGGCTTTTATTCTCAAATAGGGGGACGGTGGTGGGAATGAGGCGGGGCCTGGTACTGCTATCCATGCACAAAACAGTCTAGTTCCTTTCTCTAATGGTGATAACTCGACTTTAATAGCTGAGCATTAAGTTATCGTACGAGAAAAGCCACAGGAGCTTGGCATGTTTCTAGGAGTTGCTCTAGAACTTTGTTTAGCTTGTCCCATATGTACAGTTACAATAGTGCCTTTGAGTATGTGAGGTTACTCGTTTTGCTTTCACGAGTTACTTCGCATGAGATTACTGCAGGAGAAACTTTGGATGTATCACAAAATTAGCTTCCGTCCATCTTGCTTAAGTGACTGTCCATATGCTTTAATGACGTTATCACAGAAAAATCATATAGTTTGTTCCTGGGAGAAATTACAATATCCTTATAGGACTCGGATCAAGTTACACCAGCTTTTTTTCCTTACAATGTTATAGCTTTTTTTGGGGGGGAATTAACCCTGGTTCATGCTGTTGAATCCTTGACTGTGTTTAAATTTTCCTATAAATGATCGCTCTTAGAAGTGTTAAAATAGAAAACATTCCTGATAAAAGTTCTGTCGCCTCTGCATGTTTTCGTCATCTGAGTCATATTTTATTACTCATTTTTCATTTGGAATCTTGCTTTATATGCATTTTGGATAACGTGTTTGGTCATATAATAATGTTTTCCCTTGTTGTTTTATTGGAAATGAAAGAGCCTATTGGATTGGGTTCTCATTCAACCTTCGAAAGGCAATGAGGTTGAGTGAGGTCCACTTTTTATGCCATGCTAGTAACTGCATTTGTTCTTCTGTCCTCGTGGGACCTATCTGACAAAAAAAGCTTTAGCCATACATTAAATGGAATGTCCCAAATCTATGAGAGATTGCAGTTCTTCTGTCGTGTTGAGTGATATGATTCCTTGACTGTTGTATCTATATCAATGCAATTGTTATTTTAACGTTGCCACGTGTAGAATATACTTGTTTCTAAGTAATGCCACTTCAACAGGAAAAAGTATATTTATGTTTAAATAGACGTACAAATTTAATGCCAAAAGGAATTTTCTATTATAATTTA